TATATATTGAACCTATAATCATATCCTTGATTAGAAGCATAACACAGGCAAATAGGCAGATTAGCAGATACACTATTTTTTTATGTTTTTTTTTTACAATCTATTATATACTTCCCATATGTAAACATCTGTATAATATATATTTTTGAGTAAATATCATTTTTGATCCTCAGTAAATTTTATGATATCCGCTTTAGTCCGTAACAAATAAAAAGCTATTCGTGGTTCATAAGAAATTAAAAATAGATTCATTTAGTTGAAAGTGTAGTCTCTCACAAATTCAAAAAAGATCCATATTAGTCCCTCAACAGGACTAAAATTGGTTTACATTGAATTTCTTAAAGATCACGAATAACATTTTTATTTGCTAGAGACTAAAGCGTACATCATAAAATTTGCTAAGGACCAAAAATGATATTTACTATTTTTTTTTTTTTTAACTGTCTAATTTGCATTCCTCGTCCTTGGCTTTCCTTTTAGATAATCACTATTCGTGTTTTGTTATCCCAGAAATGCACTTGACAAAGAGTAGATGCCCAGAATATTCCATTGGGCTAAAAGCCCAGATTGTACCACCAAACATGCACATTCAGCAGGTACTTGTTCAGAGTTACATTTATACTTTGATCTAAAAAAATATTTAATGCACAAACATGAACCTTAATCAGTTACTATGTTCAAATCCTTAATCCATCATGACCTCAAATCATCAATTCACTTTTTCTATTAGGAACGCGCTGAATTCACTGGATGATTTAGCTAGAACTTGTGCTGCGGAGAAGTGTAAGCTCCATTTATCTGACCCGATTCATCATTCAACTATTTAACCCATGTAACAGGTGAAGAAGCAAAAAATACATGAGAATACAAGAACAGAAGCTTGTGCATCATGAGTAGAAATAAAACCCCTCCAGAAGTAAAGAATAAGAAGGTCAATATTCACGTTGTATTTTCTATTTATTTATTTTTCAATCATCCAAGTTCTGTGTTCTTCTTCTTTTAAAATTTCAAGCATGGATATCTTCATATCGAATAATTTTACATCTTCTAAATTAATATGTTAAATAATCCTCGTATTTACTTTAAAAAAATATTAAATACTTTTTAAATTTTAAGCACTATAAATATTTTTTTTCTTTACATTGATAAATTAAAGTATTGGATCAGGTTCAGGTTATAGAAAATAAATATTTTTAGGTTGAGTTTTAAGGAATTTGCATTCATCATTTAATATGACCACAAAAAGTTTTTTACACACATAACATTTTGTGGGACCTACATGTTTTGAAAAAAAAAAAACTACGGCACGCAAAACGAATCTCTATAATATAACACAATCATTTTTCCTACAACATAACTCTTATAAAACTCGAGTTTAAATTACATTCTGAGTTGGCTTCAAGTAGGAGTATCAAAATGAGTTGATATGATACGACACGTGACGACATGAATACACAGAACACGAATACGACGCGAACACGACTAAGATGATTTTGCGAGTTGACACGGATTTACATTCAGAATGTTCAACATGAGCACGATATGAATTTTTTGCGAATTAACACGATACGACATGACCCAAATGACACGCAAGTTGTGGATCAAAATGATAATTGACACAAAAAAAATAATTTAAAAATGGGTCAAAATTAAAAAAAAATAATAATAAATATATATATATATATAGGTCGCGACACAAATTTTTTTACGGATCAACTCGAATATAAATTTTCATATCGTGTCACGGGTCGACGCGCGTGTCATAACCTATTTTGCCGGTCTAACCTCAACTCACTCCAATATCACACAATATCTTATCTTAAATCTTATAATTTTTAGTAATTAACCATAAATAGTAAACTTATCAACTGAAATTGTTAAGTTTTGCATAATACGATAATATAATTATATTGATATGATTTGTTTCAAAATATATTGAAAAACATTCATTAACTTTAAGTTCTTCTAAAATTTTATGACTTAATTCATAATTTTTAAAATTGTACATTTTATCTAAATACGGAATGGTTCAATCCCGAATACAGTCATTAGCCGATCATGATTGTAATATTTTTCTTATTTTATATTAGAAAAGTATCTCTTTCCGCTAAGGGAGAAATTTAGGAGAGAGAAAAGACATTGAGGTAAGAGAAAAACTTTGTAACAGGACCACCAATGTAAGTCTTTGCTGAAAGGAAAACATATTTTGCACTGACGTGAGAAAACTTTTACTAACGTTGTAAGAAAATAATTATATCATATTATAAACTTAAAATTATAAGTAAGATTTACAGATAAGATGAGAGAAAAAAAAATGAGACCTATTTTTTTTTGTGTAGAAAAATTATTTCTCTTATATAAAATGAGATAAATATAATTCATTAATATATCGAGTCAAGTTAAATCTAAGGACAACTCCTTCCAATAACATCTTTAACAAGTCTTATTAGCGCTTTGGGAAGGTTACATTAAGATGCGCGGGACTTGGATCCCTTCTAAGGGCTAGAAAAGAACCGATATTGTTTTTCTCATGCTTATAGCCGTAAACCTTCTCACATATTGATGAAAGAAAATGTGGGAATATATGTATTTTTTATTACAAAAATAAATTATAAATGATGGAACTACAATTCTTCTCTGTTTCAGTTTGAGGGGATAAAACTTATACTAATAAATTTCATTTAGGCTTTATTTGGGAGTTTGAAGGGGAAAAAGAGGAAGAGGATCTAAGGAAGAGAGAGAAAAAGAAAAGGAAAGGAAATGAAGGGTATTCCCTTCTCTTATTTGAGAAAGAAAAAATAGAGGGTTAATGAGATATTCTTACAATTTTACTTTTTTTTTAAATTAATATAATTATTATATTTTACAACTGAAATTAAAATTAAAAATTTTCAAAGTATTATTTATGTACTTTTCACACTACTAAGAAAGATCATATTTTAGACCAAATTTTTCTGTTGGAAACAAGAAAAAATTCGTCGAAATGCGCTTCGTCCAAAGGCGACATAATTTAGTATCCGTTGAATTTTCGACGAAAAATAATCGGTCGAAAATATTGCATTTTCGTTGAAAAATAAATCATTAACATAATATTTATTTAACTAATTCCATCAAAAAATTTCAAAAGAATTTATGACATCGGGTGAGGTTTCACGCGGATTGATGACATGTATTTTTTTTAAAATTTTGACGGAATTTCTATTGAAAAAAATTCCGTACAAATTTTCACGAAGATTGATGATATATTTTTTTTCAAAAAATTGAATAAAAAAATTCCATCTAAAATTTTTTATAGAGAAAAAGTTGATCGGAAATTTCCAAAGGAAAAAAATTCTATCAGAAATTTTCTACCGAAAAAAATTCCGTTCAAACCTTCAAGTTGATTGATGACGTGTATTGGTTTTGCGTGTTTTTTTCAAAACTTTCGACGAAAAAATCAGTCGAAAAGTTTTTCCAAAAATAATTTCTTAAATATTTTCGACGGAAGAAAGTTTCAACAGAAAAACATTTCCTTCGAAATTTTTCGTCAAAATTTTTGACAGAAATGTTTTTGGTCCAAAATTTGATGAAAATGTTTCCTTCGAAACTTTCTACGGAATTTAGATCCCTAAAAAATTTCGACATAATCTTTTTTCCATTGAAAATTTTCGTTAGTGATTATGACCAAATCTTGTTCAATCTCTAATTTTGTCTCTTTCAACGAAATTTAGATTCCATCAAAAATTTCCATGGAATTTTTTTTTGTTGAAAATTTTTGTTATTGATGACGACTAAATCTTGTTCTATCTCTAATTTCGTCTCTATTTTCGACGAAATATGATTTTCGTCGAAAATTCCATCATTATTTTCAACGTAATATTTTTCGTCGCTATATTCTTTCGGTATTTAGAAATTTTGTAGTAGTGTTACATTTAAAAAATTATTCACATGTATATAGTTTTCACATTTTAATGCTACGAAAAATAAGTAATTTTTAATATTTTTCTCCTCAAACACCCCAAATTTGGGGAACCTTGACTTTAAGGGTGAGAAGAGTTTTAGAGGATTTTATAAAAATTTCCAAGTCTCTTTCTCCATTTTTTTAATGGTCCTTTTTTTTTTTTTCTCATATTGTAGCAGAATTCCTTCTCATGTTGAAACACAAGATGCGGTGGGCTCCACCACCCATTAAAAAAATTTATTGCATATAATTCGTTGTCTCACTGGTAGAAGAAATAATTCTATTACAACATGAAAAAATTATGTTAATGCTTTATTTTTCAACAAAAATGCAAAAAACGAGTGTGTTAGTAACACAATCAAAATTAATTAGTAATTAGGAGGATTTTAAGACGAATTATTAGGACGATATATCATTGTTCTTTCATATTTTTTCAGAATATTATCAAGATTCCAAGGTTGCACCACTTAATTTTTTCTTGTAGTTATGAGAATGCCGATAAAATTGTATCAAGAAAAGAATTCATATGTTAAATCTAATTATTGAATTGATTCCAGGGCGGAAATTGTGTGCGCATGATTTGTTAGCGAAAATGACATGTTAATTTGAGTCACTGCTGCCTAGTTTTATATATATTACTGAACTTGAAACTTTCAGTTCCATTAAAAGTAATTTTGTTATGGGAATGGTATATATGAAAAAAATATTTCTACAGTCACTTTAGATAAGGTTATTTACAGCTACTCAAAAATATGTGGAAATGATATATATATATATATATATATATATATATAAACAAACCTTAATGCGTTAATTTTACTAAAAAGTATCAATGTTACATCAGAACCTAATAAATTTTTCACGCGACATTTCAAAGAACGTAAAAATAGCAAGTATTAATGTCCCTAAAACAAAAGAGCAAACAAAATATTAAAATGGCTATGCCGAAAGACAATCATTTTCGTGTCAAAGTGAGCTGAGGAAAGAGAAAAGAAATGAAGACAAAAGGGATGCCAACGAAGCCTATCCAAATAGCAAAGGACTCCTAAAACATCGACCACAAGTTCAGATTCTGGGTCCTAAATATCCACAAAATCAGATACTCGTTTCCCACAAACTACCCGAAGTACTCACAGGATAACACAAGCAAGTAGGCTGATCCCAAGTACTTCCATTAATTCAACTATTGACCATTAACTAGAAAATTCTAAAATCCCATATCTGATTTTTTCTGGTAAAACTGAGCTTCAAAGCATGGCGGCTTTTACATCATTTGCTCCACAGTACTCATCTACATCATCTTTACAATCCTTGGTACCTTCTTTAGAAGGTACTCGTGATCATAATTCATGGTGGGTGAGAGTTAGATCATACAAATCCACAGGTCAAAGATTACACCCACAGAATATTGCAAGAGGGCTAACAATCCAAGGTGCAGCCACAAAACCAGCAAAGTCGCCAGGTACTTGTTCTGAGTTATTGCTAGATTAAATTTTCATAGGACTTTGAAGACATCGTAGAACCTTAATCAGCTCCTTTTTCACTTTTCTTGGAGGTATTAGCTGAAGAAGAGTGGAAGGTTAAGCGAGAATATCTGCTGGAAAAAAGGGTAAAGCCCCACCTCTTTGTCACACATACTCTCTTGGATGCACAAATAAGCACACTTGCATCTTTAGCATTTCAAGTTAAAGTGAGCACAAAGAAATTTCAAGATAATGCAAACCATGCAAAACATTACGGTAACAATAGCTTTAAATGTCTTCTGAAGCATATGAAATTCCCTGCCACATTTAGAATCATAATATGAAGCTCAAGTACACAGACAGCAATGATCTGAATACTCATCTGATGAGCCGAGAGATCATTGAATAATAGAAACAAGAATAATGGCTCAAAAGGGCAACCAGACTATCTAATCAAACAAATGCTATAACTAATAATAACATGTACATCTGAGTCTTTTTGTAAAATTTAGGGGAATGTGATGTCACGTTTATGCCTTATGCAGAGTAAAAATTAAAAGGTGTATATGACATTTGCAGGTAAGGAGTGTGGAAGCAAAGGAAGCTCTGCGCCTTCAGAAAGAAAATAATTTTGTGATTCTGGATGTAAGGCCAGAAGCAGAGTTCAAAGAGGTTAGTGAACAAGTTTCAGAAGTCTCGTATTCCAACTCCAATATGCCTGCACATTCATTTTGCAATTTTTGAGTCTCTATGGTACTTCTAATTTCCATCGGTCGTTATATATAGGGTACAAAGGAAAAAACTGAAGGGTTTGGTTATTACTGCAGGCTCATCCTCCAGGTGCTATCAATGTGCAAATATATAGGCTTATAAAAGAGTGGACAGCATGGGACATTGCCAGACGGGCTGCATTTGCATTTTTTGGTATTTTTGCTGGTACAGAAGAGAACCCCGAATTCATCCCGGGTACGATACATTTATCTGATCATACATTTGTTGAATTCACGTATTTCTTGTTATTGGAAACTTAATATTTGATTCATGCTGGCAGCTGTTGAAGCAAAATTAGATAAAAATGCAAAAATAATAGTAGCTTGCTCATCAGGGGGTACAATGAAACCATCACAAAATCTGCCAGAAGGTCAACAATCAAGGTATTAAATTGTCCTTTGTCTTCTTTTTTCCTGTGCCCGTTTTCTTCTCTCTCTGGATTTTAAATTTTGCTTATAGTCATAGAATTTCACATATGCTATGGAATATCTAGTCCAGAATTGGTTGATGATATTTTATGATCATCAAAATGGGTACAAATCCCATTTTCTGCAGTTCTATTGATCATATTTTGATACTTCTACAGGTCTCTCATAGCAGCTTACTTGCTGGTCCTTAACGGTTTTACCAATGTCTTCCATCTAGAAGGCGGTCTTTACACATGGTTTAAAGAGGATCTACCAAGTGTTTCAGAGGAGTGAATCGAGTGCCATGAATGTGCACGTAGGAAGTCTAGAACTATTTGTCCATAATGAGAATGATGATTAATGCATATGAAGAATAGAACTGATGAATATAAATGTCATCATTGAACTAGTGCAGAAAATTAGTATGCAAGGATTGACAGTAAAAATGTGAAGTTATATTCTTTAAAGATTGCATCCCTAACTTACACTGGAAAGGGTCCATTTATCAGAAGTGTGTTATCAGCAATTTGAGATTTAGCGATATGCATACATCATGTTTTTGAATCACTGAAGCATACTGCTTCAATTAAAACAAGTTTAGTGTTCAAGCATTTCTCGGTCTAGTCCTTTCAATTCCTTACGATGTCCAATCCAATGCCCCCACCCCCCAAAAGAATAAAATCACCCCAAGTGCTCGGGAAAAGAGGTACTTGGTTAAACCTACCATTGCCTATGCTTTTAAAGACGCTCTTGCCATAGCTAGAGCGCCATCATAACTTTTATTGCCTCCAATGAAACCACTCATGTGCACAAAAGTACAACCTGGGATTCCAGCAACCTCTGAGAGCTTGTCATTTTCCAAACCCCTCCAAAGATATGGTAACGGTTTTCTGCTCTCAAATCTAACAGGTGAGATTCCCACTGCCTGCAATCGCCAGTTCTCACTCCTGTCATCCTACAAGCAACAATAATCTATTATATATATTATAGGTCAAATATTAATTTATTATTGAATAGGAAAATAAAGAGTGAATACTTCAAATTTACAAGTTACCCGGTATATAATGAACTGGAAAATAAACCACCATACAGGTTTTTTTTTTTTTTTTGGAGGGGGGTTTGACATGACAATGATGGACGCTTATAATCAATCCTAAAGAATCATTGACTAAGTTAAACATACATACCGGGTAAAGAACATATTTGATGGAAGGATTGATTTTCATTTCCTCCTCAAGCTCATGTATGTGAAGTTTCCACTGTGGAACAAGTGAGAAAGGGTTTTAGGTAATAGTTATGACTATATTTAAAACCAAATATTATTTTCCCCAGCAGATATTGTAATTTACCCTTCAGTTGGTATGAACTATGAAGGACAAACTCTTATAATAGTTATTTAAAAAATCATGAGATTAATTAAATGCCATATGTGCTCACAGGACATGATCGGTTTAGCTTTATGATTTCTCCACTAGAATCAATAGTTTTCCTTGCTGCAAGACACTCCATAACAATGGATCGTGCTGGTAACCATGATTTTGCATAGTAGTTCACATTCTGTAAAATGATTGTTTTAGCATGTAGTGAGAAACAGTATAAATATAGTGAACACAAATCAAATATGGACAACTCAGAACAGTCTCACCTCCAAAAATTCACCACCAGCCAAGGCCATTGCTTGATGAAAGGCCTCATTTTCTCTATCAGATGACTGGTCAGAATCCATCCAGTCTAAATTCAATCGTTTAATTCTAGATGAAAGGCTTGTATTAATTACATATTTTGGAGGCTCATTCAGTTCATATTGATTCACTCCATTATCCATAGCATCAATTGCCTGTAAAGAGAACAGTATTGTAACCAACAAATCATGCATAATAAGAGGTTAGATATAATCACATATAAGTATATAAGCTCAGGAATGAAATAAGAGTAATATTAGCTACCTCGACAAAGTTTCTGTATATAGCGGGATATAATTGATGTACATGAGGATGCCCTTCAGCAAGCCCAAGCACCTTTGCAATTATCTCCAACCCAAAATGCTGGACAATTCGGTCATCACATAAGCAATAATAATAATAATGAAAAACAGTGAGTGAGAAACAAAGTTACAAACACCTTGTAGACAAGGCCAGCGCTACTGAGCTTAGTGGCGAAGCCATAACCGAGGACTTGGTCGAAACCTCTTTGATGATGATCGTAACGGTGTGGAAGCGGGTCATACACACCTCCAACATCGACCACTGCATCCAGAGATTCCAGAACCTTTGGGTCCCTTGTTCTAACGATATGCGCACCGGAGAAGTGTTTGGAAAGGCGAAGCATGAAGCAAGCGAGGGCTTCGTCGCAGTGGAAGGTTCCGCTGTGAGTGCCCACGCGCTTAGCATCGTGCGTGGAGAAACACGAAGCTAGAATGCCATTACCTAATGCCAACGGAGGCTTGTGGAACGTGAAAGTCTTGTGCCACGCTTCCACTAGTTTAACCATTTTTTGAACTTGGCTCTGCCAGGGGAGGGGGATGATGCTGTAAACGACGTCGTATTTCCTGCTTTACTCAAGGCCTTGACGGACTTCACACGTTCACATAATCACTTTTTTTTTTTTTTATAACATTAATCACTTTTTTTTTGACAGCATTTTCTCTCTTTTCAAAATTTTTTTAGCATTCTCTCTCTTTGATCCAATGGTGATTAGATAGGTAGTAAGTTGGTAGTGAAAATTTTTAGTTATGAGAATATCCTCCCTCGTGTTTGTCCACCAAATTCTTAAATCCAAATTTATGAGCAATTTAGCAAACTAATAAAATTAGTGTCATATCACTAACGATTAGTTTGTGTTTTATTATCCTAGTATATAAATCTTAAGTCTTGTTCTGGATTGAATCATTGGCCCTATATGATTTTAATATTTTCACAAAATATCTTATGAATCACGTCAAGTAACAGTTTTTGTTAGGGGTGGCAATTTGTGACACGGTCCGCTAATCCGACCCGAACTGGACATGAAATTTTCGTGTTAGGGTCAACCCGTTTACTGCTTAGGTCGTGTTCGGTTTGAAGAAAAATGACACGAAAAATTCGTGTCGAGTTTGGATCAACCCGCTCTAACCCGCAAATAGTTTTTGTATAAGGTTATTATAGTCATTTTAGTTAGTGGTATAAAAAAAATAACATGCACTTAGGGTTTCAAACAACCTTTCTCACTTAGCAGTGACTTTATCGGATGTATATGCTTTTATTGGATAATGTGAGCATTCTAAAACTCGGGTCGGGTCGAGTCGTGTTAATATATGTAATAATGGGTCATGATTACATTATAAAGTTATTCGTGTCATGTCGTGTCAACCCGTAAAATAAGTTGGACGTGTTCGGGTTGAGAATTTTGACACAGAATAATTAATCAGATCGTATTCGGATTGAATTTTTTCGTGTTGTGTGAAATTCGGATCGAGTCGGGTCGGATCGGATTGACACGAATTGTCGCCACCCCTATTTTTTGTATGATCCCCCGCGTCTAATCTCATGCCAGTAAAGTAATCACAATATTCCTTCACCTCCCCCGATAAGGCACGTCCCACATCATTACAAATGGACTATTTTTTGCTCAACTTAACAGCCTTTTAAGTCGATTCGCAGAGTAATCAAACAATTAACTTGGCTGCACATGTGTCTTTACCTCATATCAAGTCTGAATTTTATTTTATATGCACAAAAAGCTTATATTTTTATCTGTTTTACCTAAATAACGATAATTAAATTTATAGAGTTTTGAGAAATATACTTCTTGCTTTGAGAGTTAAAGCTTAGACGATCGGGACTTAAAATCTAATTAACTTTTGCTTTGGTCAAATCTTGATGAGACCACAAGTGATGAATGTTGAATATTTCTTACCTTGTTTTGGATTTGGATGGATAACCAATCAAATCTCGAACCCATTGTAGGCAAATGGAATGAAGAGGAGCAAAGTCAACTCACCGGAGCTGAGAAAACTCTTCCATAGTTGATTTTGGAGCCAACTTCTTTATGACTTGAAAGTTGTGCTTACGCAATAAGTCGGACTTACTAACCTCAAGCTTAATCTCTCAATCGACTTCAGACTTGTAGCAATCGTGTCATCAAGCTTCAAGTATAATCCACTTTTGAGGCAAACACGGCCCTAAATTATTTTATTGATTTAGAAAATCTAGATCATCCAATTTTATGTAGAGTCAAAACAGTCTAGTCTCTCTTTATATTTTTGTGGCCAAAATAAATTATTTTTGTTTTTTATGGCCATATTTCACAAATTAACGCAAGTTGAAGGAGGAATATCCCAAATTCCATTGCCTCCAATGGAATAGTCTTTGTTAGCCAGCCATTGCCCTTCTAATTTCTAATTTTATTGTCTAATTATTTGATTAAAAATGTTGACACAAATGTAAATAAATAAATTGAATGTTGACCCCAAACTTGGAATTTAAAGAATACCGCGAGGCATTGAATATGAATTGTTATCCCTTTGACCTTACCGCCATATCATTATTTTTCTGTGGTAAATACAACAATACAATTCTTGACTAAAAAAAAAAAAAAACTGCAAAATAATTGTTAGTGGCAACTGGCAAGCAACTTTACATAATTTGATCCAAGAAAAAAAATCCAGTCGGACATATTTTACCCGACCCGACCCTCGATCCGTGGAACTTCTTTCTCTATGGGCCCCGAATGCACAGACTCTTCCTTCTTTCTACTTCCCAAGCGCAAAAGCCCATACAGCTTTCGGAACTCCCTCACCGTATGAACACTTTCCCGACAAATCACAGCACCCGATTCGTTTGTGTCGTCGCTGCTCCGACCCGACCCGCTATTGCTCAACCTCTGCCCTCCTCTCCTCGCATCCCCGCCGTTGGATTGCACCTGCAAAGCCGAAATGACGGTTTTCAAGGCCCGGGTGGGGGAATTCCGGTTCGATATCATAATCTCACCAATCTCGGCCGGGCTGAGCCTGGCCCCGGTCTGAAAAACCTCCTCGACCTGAGGGAAAAGCTTGTGCTCCTTCAAACCCAAATAACTAGTCGCGAGAATCTTGAAGGTGGAGAAATCACATAAGGGGAAGTGTATGTGAACATCAACCCTACCAGGCCTCAACACAGCTTCATCAACCTCATCCTTAGTACCATTCATCGTAAACACCATCACGCGCTCTTCTCCACAGCACGAAACGATCCCATCCATGAAGTTCAACACACTCGATATGCTCACGCCCGTTGATTTTCCCGCGATCAACCGATCGAGGTCCTCGATCACGATCATTGACTTCGCCGTCGTTTGCATCAGCAACATCTTCCAATCAGAGCCGTCCGTTAACTTCGAGATATCTATATCGTAGATATCGTAGCAGAGGAACTTTGCCATCGCGGCTACGAAACTGGATTTTCCCGTACCGGACGCACCGTAGAGGAGGTAACTCCGCTTCCAAACGCGACCTAAACGGTGGTAGTACTGCTTCGACTTGAGGAACTGGTCCAGATCGGATTTCACCTTATTCTTCAGCTCAGCGTCCATTGCCAACGCCTCGAAGCTCGCCGGATGCGTGAACGGCACCGATCGCCACCGCGAGCTCTCGCCGGCGGCGGAATTCATGTACAGCTTGATATCGTTCTTCCTCCGCTGTTCGATCTCGTCCGCCACCGAGAGGATGTGCTGGAAGTACTGGCGGAAAACCCTACGCTTGTCTTTCTTATTGATTCGGAGGACCAGCGCGGAATCGGAGTCTCCGGCGGCGGTGTGGTTGGTCCAGGAGAGCTTGGCGCCGAGGAAGGTGTCGTGAACGGTCTGGTTGGCGTCGAGGTGGAGGAAGATGTCGGAGGGATTGGGGCCGGAGAAGAGGTTTATGAAATCGGAGTCTTGAACGGAAGGGAGAGAATCGAGGTAGGTTAGGATTTTGCGGTAGAGTTGGTTTTCCTGGGAATGGTGGTTGTAGAGTGGGATTTTGAAGGATTGATAGAGGTGGAGGCGGTTTTCGAAGGAGAGCCACCATCGGTTGAGGATGTGAAGTACAGAGGTTTTGCGGAAGAAACGAAGGATTAGAAAAGAGGAAAGGAGGATGAAGAAAATGGAGGAGATGGAAGTAGCCCAAGGCCAAACCATGTTCAATTGAGACTCAAAAACTAAAAGCAAAGAAAATCACAAAAAGAAATGGGGTTGCGATGAGAGATGATCATGCATGTGTGTGGATTGAGGAATGTAAATAGAATTTTGTATGAGTTTCATCTTTGAAGAGGTCATCGCATCAGGATCAGGTCAGTGCCGGCAAATTAAATCCGAATATACAAATGAAAACGTGTTCTTCTTTGGGCTCTTTAATTTTCAATTTTTTTGACTCTTGCTTCCTCGTAGCCTTATTCTGCGCACGCATTTCTCAATTATTGATAAAATTCTTTTTTTGTTTTTTTAAAAAAATTCCATCTTTCTTTCTTTTTAGTTTTCTTGGAATATGTTAAATGTTAATGCTTAATATAATAAAGAATGATGATGATTTCTAACGATAGGTTGGTCATTTTTTACTTTACAGAAAATGACACGTCTAGCCATCTAGGTATATGTCTCATGTACTATATGTTATTATGCCAATCATCTATTTTTTTTTAAATAAAAAAAAAAGTTTCATCAGAGTCTCTAAATGCATGTATATTTGATTTGAAGTTCGCAATAAAGAGGAGAATATTATGTATTCATGAGTAGTTTTAAATGTTAAATATATTTTAGTAATTTAGCAATTATGCTGAAATGAATTAGGAATCGACTTCTTGTGCAGACTATGTACTATATCTTAACTGAATTTTCTGTCTATGATTTTGTATGAAATACAATTATCTGTGTACCGATTTTTCCATGTTTGGTTAAAAGATTATACAAGAACCCATCGAGAGACGTTTTATGTTTCAAGATTAATAAATGGGAGTTTAAACTGTTACAACATATGCAAATATTAAGTTTCGGGCATGTATTTTCTTCATATATTAATTATATAATTGCTTAATATTTTTTGTTACCATGCAAAAATACAGAAAAATAAGAAAAATATAAGCTGGAGTAATGGAATACAAATATCAGCGTCAATTAGTGATTTTGAATACATATATTATTAAAACAGTTACATGGAGTAATGGAATTTGTTTATTTCACGATAGCCGTGAAGAAAGTAGTTAGTCAACGATGATTGCTGTCGTAATTCATAACTGCCAAACACCATATTCCGATTCCTTAAACAACCGAAACATAAGAATTAAAGATATTTTCAAACAACAGGGGCTGGACTAAAGAAAAGTAAAGAAAATTATCTAAAATTGTTCTTTAGTTTGGGACAGGAGAAGGGTAGAGTCAAAGGGAACGCAAGGAGAATAATTGAAGAAAAACGAAGAGATCATATAATATAAGTTAGTATTGCATTCAATGGTACCTTGTTTGTCTCCTTTGATTTTGAAGATTGGCAGGTCGCTAATTTTGAACTAGAAAACATAGTTTTAACTTTCAACTGCCTACAACTCTAATTGCTTATAATAATAGCCCATTTATTCGGTTGTTTACTTTAAGTATTCATTGATATCATTATTTTTCTTTTTCATTGACCAATTTTATTTTATTTTTAGTTATTTCAAAAAACATACCTATCAATTATTATGATAAATAATTACTTCATACTAAGTTATTAATTTGAAATAACTGATATCCAACAAAAGTGCTTAATCAAATATAATGGGATTAACACGATAGTAAAATTGCCTCAAAGATAAATTGTACAATAAAAGTGGCTATTAACCAATATAAGGTATTTCATTTTAATTAATAATTTGTTATATCAAACTGCATATTCGAATCAAAGAAAAATTTTACAAAACGGATATAACATCAATGATTCTTTATGATCGTACATGTTAGACAATAAACTATCAACAAGATTAAAATGAAAATTGTTACCAAAAAAAAGAAAAGAAAATAAATGGAGTAATTCAAAAAGAAAAGTTAGACAGACACGGATGTAAACTCACTTCCAGCGATTGAGTCATTTAAGAGAGAGAGAGAGAGAGCAAATGAGGCTCCAATAAAAAAAATTAAATAGGAGATAGCTTAATTAAAATAAGAGAAAGACCTTAAAAAATCATAATAAACTATTTAAATATTTTAATTAAAAATTGGTTTTTGATCGAATTGTTAAACTGGTTATATTCTTTTAAAATTAAAAAAAAAAAACTACAAGTAAAAAATCTTGATGCAATGTGCACAAGTCAGCCAACAGTTTGACAAATGAGAATCCCTGTAACGATATGAATCGCTGGAGCTATTTATTGCATTTTTGTGAAAGGACAATGATTTCTTTGCGTCGAACGATGCAAGAAGAGGCATGCCATTAACAATAGGGACAGTTCCTTGTTATGATCAATAATGACTTCAAATTTGAAGTCTGCATCGTGAGGTTTGTACCGTGAAAAATTAAAACCTACTATAAAATGATTGTCACCATAAAAAAATCGAAAATCCCCATAAACTAGATTGTCATGTTGATTAAAAAATAGAGTTGTCATGCCACTTTCAGCACCATATTATTTTTCATTTGTGTCCAATCATCTGCGAGGGTGTTATCTCCACAAGACTTACAGGTCTAAGATAATGACGGCAATATTTCCAAACAGAATGAATAGCCACTTCCAATTCCAAAATCCTAAAAGAAAGATATCCCGTCCCTTCTTGGATTGTGATCAATCGTGCATGCCAATGTATCTTTAGTTATTCCATTTTCTTAATTTTTTTCGATATTCAATTTCTTAATCTTTTCTCTACCCTTAAAAGTAGTAAGCAATGATGGAACCACGAGGTAGGCCGTCAACCAAGCCACAAACGGGACGTGTTAGGGAAGATACGTCCCCTACGTTGTGGTCCTGCCTACACTGTAGAAATATGTTTGAGAGGGGAAAAAAGGTACAAATTTGTGGTCCCAACTCCTAACTATAATGAATGAATGTGATGGGAAGAGCTTGCACCTTTCAAGGGTTTGAGTTAATCATCATCTTATGCGGGTGGACCAGAAAGACAACAAAACACAGGGATGCTTACTGACCCACATTGCTTAAAAGTATAACCCTGCCGAACCCACTCCAATGCCAGTTATTTCCCAGAGGCCTCAATCATTGATGGCTGTTGACAACTTGCTAACTGCATCGTCTTGATGAATCTTAAGCTTACTCTGTTAAAGTTGTTAGGAATGTCAGTGCTATATCCAACTGTATTTAATCATGGATTTAATCAGGTAATAGAACAATACAGATGAAATTTTGCTTATTTTACTATCAATAGGACTAGAAGTAACAGTTATTTAAAACTGATTAAATAATACTATGCGTTTCTCTTTCCCATTAGCTAAACAGAGCATGATATATAGAATTGTGTGATTCAACTCTTGACCTTAAGTACAGTTAACTCTAAGGCCTGAAGGAATTTTATTTTATCCCCTCTTTTGTATATGTTTGGCTAGTACTATACAATGTAATAAAATGTGGATGCACCTGACACCCGAAATAGACATTAGCTACCATTTCATGTCATTTTAATGCATCACATTATCATCTTACAATATACGAAGGAAGGTGGAACAACAATATCTTTGCATCACCAAGAGAGTAATCAGAGATAAAATTTGGCATAAATGGGATATTAAAAAGAGCTACAAGAAGGATTGATGCACCAAATATTGAACAAAATGCAACTTTTATAATCAATGTATAACAAATATATGTTCTAGAATTAGTATAACTAAGGAAGTAATCGCTGTTACAATTTGGACTAGGCTAAATGACAGTAGAAAATGCTCTAAAGAAAGTCAACATTTTAGGAATCCTGGGCATCTGATTGGAGGTTAATCATGTGAGAAACCACAAGCTTAGAGAATTCATTGATTGCAGCTTGAAGCTGATAATCACCTGACTCACCATGCACTGACCATCTTGAAGGTGACTGTAGGCTTAATCCACCGTATTCACTTGCAGCAACCTTTGTCTTCTGTGAAGTGGCAAGGGCCTTCTCCAAATCTAACTGCGACAAAGGTCTAGGTGCCTGAAACGTGAATAGTGAAAAGTAGACAAAACACCTCATTAATTTTCAACATCTCCACTACTTATATGAGAAAGGCACCGAGAAGACTAATGAGTTTCATTAAAAAGAACTAATATATGAAAATCATATCCAACACAAACTCACAAACTGATCTTGCACATTAATTGCTTACATTGATCAGAGATGGCAGTTCAAGCATGGAAATATACCCGGGTGCATACAATAGTTTTAAATAAAATAGACATACTCAAAATTGATTTGTTCTCTTCTAGTTAATAAAACGTCAAACTGTTGATATGGATATGCACTCTAGTCACATCAGCCTGAGCTAGCATAGTATCCGTGATGCGGTTCAGCCCTTGAAGGGTTATAAGCGGGACATATATAGGAGAAGGTGGGTTCCCAATGCTGACATAGACAATCAGTTACAACTGTTGTAACTGACTATAACATAATGGGTGGTGAGGGGGAATTGGTTAAATAGGAAAGGGATGGACTGAGAGGGGGGGGGGGGGGGGGGGGGGGGGATCTGGGAATTCTTAGTCAGACTTGGGACTTGGGAGGGAGTAGAGCCCCTCCATGTGCTCTAAACAACTGTTCTTATCTTTCTGTCATTTGTAATTTCTTTGGTGTCGTTCATTAGACAAGTCTTGTATTGTTTTCTTTAATTCCTTGTGCTGTTACTACTATTTCTGTAATAAACATATCAGTATCTCGGCTCATTTTCCTTTTTTGTATACTGGAAATTGCTGTTACTGGTTGGTCTTTATCAATCCGCTATTTGAAAAATGAAAAATTAAGGCAGAGAATAAAATAGGAGAGAATGACAAATATACTAACAGGAGATCGTTTCCCTTTCTTCTCTTCGTCCAGTATTTCTCTAATAGGAAAATAGGCAGCCTTTTTGCAAAGATCAAATAGATCCGAACCAGTGTAACCCTCGCATAAGCCAGCTATATGACCAAAGTCTATGTTCTCTTCAACCCTCTCACCCTTTAAGATAACCTTTAATATCTCAGCCCTCTCCCTCTGGTCCGGAATTCCAATTTCAAAGGCTTGAGGAAGACGCCGAAGTATTGCTTCATCAAGTTCTGAAGGACGATTAGTTGCTGCAAGGACCATAACTCGGGCATTCTCTACACACACAAATAAAGAAAGTCATCATTATTAACAACCCTATTTAAATATAGATAACCTGAGAATACTAACTTACAGACTAAATCTCCATCAAAATTGTCAGTATCCTATTTGCAAATTACTTTGAATATTGATGTAAAGAAAATTAAATATAGCTAGTTTAAAACTTACGATCAGTGGTAAATCCATCCCACAGAGCCATGAACTCAGTTTTCATGTTTAACAAAGCCTCGTGATCTGTTGTACGACGCTGACCCAAAAAACTGTCAACCTCATCAATGAATATGATGGCAGGCTGGAGCTTATGAGCCAAGCTAAATACAGCAGCCACTGCAGAAGAGTAGCAGAATATTAACAGTAAACCAAAACAAAGAACTACACTTCAAACGGAGAACATAAAGCATAATTAAGCACATTAAAATTAGATACAAATTTACATAATCACAAAGGCAAGGTTCAGAAAAATAAAAACATAGTTACGTATACCAAGATGCCTTTGCTGACTAACATTTCTGATAAGAATTTGACCTAGATATCTCTATGCAACTGAACAGCTTCAAGCTTTCAACCAAACAACCACACATTTGCTAATCCGCAATAATTAGATAACATATACAGGGGTAGAGATGTAGATTGGGTTATTAGCTTTGTTATTTAATTTGGGGATTTTTATTTTTGCAATTAGAGTTCTTCATTTGGGATTATTTATTATTATTTGTTATTTAGGAATTCTATTCAATTTTAGATTACCATATTCCAGTTTAGAATAGGAATAACTGATTAGGGTGTTTGGCAATGTTGGGTGTATAAATTCACCATCTGTGTAAACAGTTGAGACGCTTTTGATTAGCATATGATATTGAGTTTTCTTCAGTCAGAGAGAATTTGGCATTTTAGTCAGAGGAGCACTCCACCCTAGAGGAGTACTTTAATCTCTAGGTTTATCAGGGTAGTATCCTACCCAGAGAAAGAAACATGCAAGGATGGCAAACTCAACCGGAGTTGTTTCACTTATTGTAAAACTGGAATTGTTTGTAAGATCTTAACCATATTATTAAAAGTCAGTTACTACATTAACTTTTTTCAGAAAATGGTATACTCTTGACTGATTGTAGCTTCTGGCAGCTAGTAAATTTTGTCAAAGAGGGAGGGGACTTCCCTTCTACTTCGAAACGATATTTGATCTAAGCTCATTTTCTCAATGCCAGGCCACTATCAATCTGATAACAACAAATTGCTATTCGAGGAGCACAGAGCCTTGTCCATGAAACAGGCTGAGATATCAATTCAAAAGAATATCCACACCCCACAGTGTAAACTACATCAATCTCAAAAAAGCCTATTGGGAATTGAGAAGCCAAAAAAGAAAGCTCAATGATGCAATTGCATGTTTTACCTACATATTCTTTCACAAGACACATTCCAATTTAAGTAGATTTGCAAACAAAACTTTCCTGCAACAGTCTGCCATGTTGAAAAAATAGCCAATTTTATACCAGAAAACATTAACACCAGTGCAGGACATGGATACAACACAGTATGAATACAAGATAACAACAACATCATGATGAATTTGACAGGGATAATCTGCCATATAAACACCATTTGATGTAGGGTTTGCTACCTGAAGGGAAGTAGCTACTTGATACTTTTCCATTGAAACAAAAGAATGGGATGAGTAATGACAAAGGTTGTTCTCAAGAACCAGAGGAAAGTAAGATTGACTTTCTAAATATAGCAGTGTTGGGACAACAGGAGGCCTCTTTGACTTCTGTATTATTTAACTAATTTTTATTTGTTAATGCTTTTTACTCATAATAGATATCTAAACTATTTCTTCATCTAATATCTTCATTATCTTCAAAGAATAGAATATAAAAAAAGATGTTTAAAGTTTAAACTTGTTCTTATTCTAATCTCCTCATTATCTTCATAGGATAATTGCCGCATGGCCCCTATCTGCTATCATAAATCCTTTTCAAGCAAAAGAAACTATGTTGGAACTGCTCTAATCATATCTTATAACTGCATGAGATTCCACTTCTGGCCATGAGTGAAGCAAGATTGCAACACATTTAACTCATATAGGCAAAATACAAAAGAAATTATGTACAATAGTGTCAATAGTCTGCATGTCAAATTTTTATACAGATGCTAAGTAATCATCAATAATTTATTGGACTTTTGTGTGCACACATGGAGGTTTATAAAAAACAAAGGATCACGATATAAAAGAATTTTAATTTATTGAACTAACATAATTTATTGAAGATACTATAGTGTATGTAGTTTTGTAGAGAATAGTCTTATAGAGTATTATAGAAGCTATAAAGATACCACACACTTACCAAGCTTTTGTGCATCACCAAACCACTTGCTCATCAGGTTTGATATCCTCACATTAATAAAAACTGCTCCCGACTCCTTAGCAATAGCTTTGGCAAGCATGGTTTTTCCAGTGCCAGGCGGTCCATACAACAGAACCCCCTTTTGTGGTCCAAGAAGCTTACCATGTGAAAACAAGTCCGGTCTTTTTAAAGGCAGAATAACAAGCTCAAACAAAGCTTGCTTGATTGTTTCCAGTCCCCCAATAGAGTTAAACTCCACATCAATGTGATCAGGATTTATAACATCACAGGCTATGACATCCTGTACACAATAAAGGGCACAAATTAAAAATTAATATAAAAGATAAGACTTAAGTACTTAACTATGGTCCAATATTTTTAACAGAAAATCTAAAAATACTTCTGCTAAAATAAAGTAAGGCCATATATCCATAGAGGATATGTGTTAGGAACGAGTCCTTCTTTTCCATGTGTATTTGGATAAAAATTCTACTTTTGAATTAATTTCTCCATTTATCAAAGAAGTTGGCCAATATTAGGAAATCAGAATTACTAATTCATAAGAAAATGAGAAATTTCTTTTCAGAATACAGTCACCTAGTGTTAAAATCAATCTTTGTGTTGATTATAGAAGTAACATGATAATATCAGTACAGTAGCACAGCAATAGCAACAACCAACCCTAACCTTCAGGGAAGAGAATATTAGTTAACCCCCCCCCCCCCCCCCCCCCCGGTTATATTTAAGGGCAAAACTAGAGCTTAGCTATTCGAACTAATAAAAATCATTCAGCCTGAAAACTTAACCTTCCATGTGAATACCAAAGAATATCCCACAGAAACATGCACATAAATGCACACATAATTATACATAGGACACCATTTGGGCAATAAACTACAAATGCATCATCCTTTCTCATCTTTCTCAACCATACACAAGCCATTTACTAAGAAAAGGCACAAATAGTCAATTGAAAGTTGTTGCAGCCTTGCAGGAACCAATCACATCTAAGAGATACTTTAGAAATAGAATCAGGAATGCGGGATAAAGATCCTATAACTAATCTATACAAGGAAGGAAGAAAAAAAAAAACTACCCTCAACGTCAATAATACATACAAGTACCCCTACCATGACATTCAGCATAAAAGCTTGATTAATTACAAAATGACTTGCAATATTGTAACATGTCACAAGTTAAAATCAAATATGTCACACATTAGTTCTATTATTAAGGTTAAGATGCAATTAATGCCTTAAACATCTTCCTGACCATATATAATAATGGCACGAACTTCATATTACCAATTTATATATAATAAAAATAAAAAATGCGCTAAGGTCGGTGCAATCAAAGAAATGGGATATAAACAAAAAATAAGAGCATTGGATAGACCTCGTAAGGGTTTGTCTGAATGAGAGGGCGACCTAGACGCTTGGCAATCTCTTTCTTATGCTCAAGAGCTTTCTTCGATGCCTCGCGGTTCGGGTCGAAGTGTCGGAGCCCCGCGAACAATACCAAGCAACTCAGCGCCGCGCTCGCCGCGTACAACAACAGGTCTTGTAGGATCTTCGTTTCCGATGAACCTCCCATTCTTTATTTTCAACAATCAAAACTTCAAATTCCAATAATGCTACAGATTAATTTATAATCAAAATTCCTCCTTCTTTTCAATTCCCCCCTATCTTTCTATCTCTCTCTGCATTTCTGACGAGGAACGAGTGTTCTGAAAGGTTAAAAGAATCCCAAAGGTTGGGGATGACGAAAGAGGGAGTTCATTGGGCTTGTTTCTTTGGGCCAATATAACTTGTTGGGCTTGGCCCATCTATTATAAAAACTTCTGTTGGGGCCCTTTTGGATGTTGTTGATTTTTCTGCCTTTTGCTGACCCAATTTAGAGAATTTTTTTTTTTTTGATAAACAAAAAGGCTAGCACCCCAAAACCAAAGAACAAAAAAAATGAAACTACCCAGGGAGTGCCACAACACGCTCCCTTCCTACCGAAGCAACGTCACCAAGATATAAATGTTGAACACCAAGCGGAGGTTTATTAAAAAAACACTGATCAGCTTGTTTTGCAGAATCTAAAATAAAGTTAGTTACACACGAGTTGCCTTTCTTGAAATTGTGATGGAGAGAAACCTGCCAACCAACTGCACCTCACGGACTGCTGCACCACATTTGATGAGCACAGTAATTACCAACAGCGAATCACTTTCTAAGATAATTTTCCCTGTGACCATTGTTCCAAGCCCTTTTCAAACCCCTCAGAATACCCCATAATTCAGCTTTAAAAGAAGAGCAGAAACCCAACTTATACGCAAATCTATCCAACCAAATACCTTCGGAGTTCCTAATTACACCCTTGCAAGCTGCCAAGTCAGAATTATCTCGGGAAGCTCCATCCGTATTTACCTTCACAAACCCATCTTTAGGAAAGGTCCAAGACACAAGGACGTTGCTGATAAGAGGACCAAGATTATAAGACTTTTGATTTGTAACAACACTATCAACCTCTGAAACAAATTTAGATAACTTTAATCATGATTGATTATGCATAAAAAAATTTAATTTTGATATTTTCAAGATAATTAATTCAAAGAAATCACTAATTCAAAGGAAAAATTACTTCACTTAAGATCAATTTTATTGGAAAGAAAAAAACAAAATTGTGCACTGATTTGAGATTCATATAACTATTCTTCCAAGCGTCCACGTGTATTGTTGGACTTATAATTTAATTTTATGAGAAATTTTGTAGTTATAATTTATATAACTTTTTTAAACTGTTGAGAATCCAAGTTCATGCACTTTTGACGCTTTGGTGCAATTATAAAGTAGTAGGACAATTTTTTGCACAAAGTATAGCGGACAATCATTGTTTTATGAACCTTTCATTGTTGAATAAACAAATACAGATTTGTGTGTGTAATATATTTTTGTACTTTACTTCACTCATGTTGTAGAAGAGAAGTTATCTTATGTTGTGAGATAAATTAAGTGGAGCTCATTAATTTTTAAAAAAGAAAAAAAATGAAGTACATCTTTTTATATGAGTATAACATAAAAAATAAATCTTATATAACATAAGAATATAATTTTCTTATATTTTTATATTAGTCAGAGAAGGGGTAATTTTCATTCACTTTTGACGCTTTAGTGCAATTTTAATAGTGGAACAGTTTTTTTGCATAAAGTGTCGTGGGCAATCTTTGATTTACGAACCTTCCTTTTGTTGAATAAACAAATATTTTCTATACCAGTGGGGCTAAGTGAGTGATAGTTCTATGACCACTTCTCCATTAATTGACATGATGTGGAATCTTTTCACAGAGAATGGCCCTGTTTTATTCGTCACTTACTTTTTAGTGCCTGTTTGGATCCTCTCTTTTTTAAGTTAGAAGCTACTTATAAGTATAAGCTAAGCCAAACAAGTTTTCGAAAAAGCTCTTATAATGAAAAGCTCTTTTTTCTATAATGAAGAAAAAAGCTGAAAATTAAAAGCTCCTATGAGGAGCTTTTTTTTAAGCTCTTATATGTTTTTATTGAATTGTGTGGTTTTTTTTTAAATGAAGAGTGATAAAGATAGAGAGAGATAATTTTCTTGAAATATGTGCTTTTAAGTAAATTTTAAGCTAAAATTTTCATGTAATTTCCAAACAGCTTTTAGCTTCTTTTTTTAAGCTCTTTTTTTTAGTTTTAGCTTATAAGTAGCTTCTAGCTTAAAAATAAGAGGATCCAAACAGGCTCTTAAGCTGATGATGAGAAATCGTGAGATGCTACTATATTCAAATATTCGGATAGTTATGATCAGGATCATCCAATATAAAGGGAGCTGAGATGCTGGACGTTGCGTATTGTGTTAAGACGCTGCAGCATGGACTAAGGGAAAGGACAGGATTTGAATTAAGAGGAATATATACAAGCGATGGTCAATTCATTTGAAAGGAATGAAACCTGGTCAGATATATATGCTTGAAAAAAATAGCCATTTGTCTTTGTCTGTAGGTAATGTGTGGGTTTTGTTGTAAGTTCCACATCCTTAGTTGAGGCCAACTATAAATAAAAGTTTCCTCTGTCTTTCTAAATACCCTAATATTTTTTCTTTTTATTATATATTTTCTTGAATGAGTTTTGTGAGGAATTTTAAAATTGTTCTCTCCTTATAGGAATTCTGTGAGGCCAACTATGGGCTGTTTGGTAGCGGCCAGGTTTTTAGAATATCAAGAAACTGAATTTAGTATTCATATTTGTTCTGCGTGAGGCAGAGATGTCCGACCGTAGGTCGAATGGTTGATCTTAGATCTAGTGCTTTCTCTCTAGATATCTATGAATTAGGTATTTTGAGAACAGTGAATCACTATACACTATATGATGGCCTTAGCCAGAGGGGTGTGTGTGTGCACTGTCGTGATTGCATAAAATAGGGTTCGAGAGAGATCAGCCATACCTGTAGTCTTTAGCTCCTATTTATAGTGCTTACCTTTGGGTTTGCATCATTTGGGCTACCTGTGACTGTGGGCCTTCCTCAGGTCATAACAGTATTTATCTATGTTTGGTAGAAATTTTCACAAAAAAAATTCAGATATTTGATTTGCCCAGAATTTTTATCTATGTAGAAATTGTGTTGAAATTTCCTTTCCGAAAATATCGGATGATGGGATTTTCACATCATAATATTCAGACAAATCTATCATTTCCTGTCACAAGCATACGGATAACAGAGCTATTTTTCGGTAGCACATGTGACAATGCCTAATTCACTTCCCTCTTCTTGTCTACCACATCTTCTGCGTTTGAGGATACCCCACGAAGACACACTACTCTCACCATCAACAAGGTTTGGAGATCAAAGAGGGAAAGCTTCAATGCTTTTTGATTTGGACCCTTCTTTGGAATACCAGTAGTGATTGAAACTAATTCAAGAGACAAATAATGAAGAAGATTGGAGTTTGATCTAAAGCGGTGTTTTAAAACCCGGCTCAAACTGGCCGGGTCGATCCGGGACTCGGTGACCCGGTGGGTTCCCCGATCCGAGCAGGTAGTTGGACCGCTTCTGCAGTCAACCCGGATTGGACCGGTTGACCCGGCCGAAACCCAGTTGACCCGGTGACCCAGGTTAGACCGGTTATTCCTTTTTTTTTGGTAATTTTTTTCTTTTGTTGATAAGAACTCTTGAATTAAATCATATTCATATTTTATGATGAATATGATTAAAAGTAAGGTGAAAATAATAAGGTATTTAGATTAGTGCAGTTCGTTTATGTAATTTAGTTGCATCTTATAATGATCTCATGAAGTTAAGTAGTGATAAACACTTATGGTCTCATGATCTCATCTCAACGGTGGACACTTTTTTTAGTATATATTTCATGCATACTATTTGTTATCATGATAACGGTGACACTCTCTTCTTAGTGTATATTTCATGCATACTATTTGTTATCATGATTTAATTTATCCGTATCATGTCAAGCACAAAAGGTGCATTTAACTTATATTGCAATTTTAATCCAATATTAGGATATGGTCTAGAGTTAGAAGCTTAGAAGTATATAATATTTGCTATCATTGAAAATCAATTTATTTTTTGAAATTCATTGATAGTTTTCTTATGTGAATTTTTATTAATATAAGTAATATTTTTATACTTTTAATATGTGAACAGTAAATCCGGTTCAACCCGGTTGAATCAGTGACCCAGTACCTCGACCGGTTCGATGACCGGTCCGAGTTTTAAAACACTAATCTAAAGTTACATGGGCTAGCTACACTCTCTTTTGCAGCATTTTTAATTTAATTTTTTCTCTCTTTTTGGTTTCTTTCATCAGCTACAAAAGGAAAGAGCTCCTCGACTTTCTTCTTCTTCTAATCAGTAATTAGTGAGTGTGAATAAAAAAAAGTAAAGGTAGGGTTATTTTTATAAAATAACCCCACATTCCCACTAATATTTCACAATCAACCAAATACAAACTCAGTAAACTTAATCAAATAATAACAGTAATATTTTGTCATACCAAACAACTGTTTTGTAATATTTTCGAGTAATTCACTTTCCCACCATATTTCTGAAAATCATGTTTCTCAGGCACCAAAAAAAATTTCTCTATCAAACGCCCCTTAAGAGAATTCCACACAAAATTCATTCAAGTAGATATATAGGAGAAAGAATAAACATTGATATGTTTAGAATGATGGAGATGACATCTATTTATAACCCATCACCCTTTACTTCTTTTAAGTCCCAATGATATGGTAATTCCAACAATCTCTCACTTGAAGATATGATTGAGAATTAATAATCTCCACACAGTTCTTTTTATCAGTCATCTCCGTATTGTTTGGCCAAATAAAGATCTGCACCATGCAAACTTATCAGTATTGATTGGCTTTGTCAGTGCATCCGATAGGTTCTCTTTTGTGTGAATCATTTGCATATTCACGCTTCCATATTCTACCACTCCATGATCAACTAGATATTGAACTCTTATGTGTACTTCGTCTTAAAATGAAAAGTTGGATTTTTTATAATATGCAAGACTATCTAATTATCAAAATACAATAAAATATTATGTTGTTTGTGCCCTAGCTCCTCCATGAATCTCCTTATTTATGTCATTGTCATATATTCAGCCTCGTCGTAGAAAGTATCACGACTAACTATAGTTTAGATACTCGGTTAACAACTCCTTATGTAATTGTAGACACATAGTC